ATAAAATTATTTAAATTAATTTGCTTTAGATTTAAATTTTTATTTTATTTTATATTAAATCTTTTCTGTGCATCGCACGGGTTTATAGCTTAATAATTAAAAAAGTTTTACTATATATTTATTTTATTTTAAAAAATTTTATAAGTTTATTCCTGTGCATTATTGCACGGGTTTACAACTAGTTTAATATACAAAATTATATAAAAAAAAACTTGAAATTTTTAAAAATTTAAATCAAATCAATTTAAATATGCCTAATATTGGTTTTAAAAAACCTTAAATTCTGATTATATTGTAGGTATATATATAATATATGTATATATATACTATATATATATTATATATATATATATATAATATAATTGAGATTAATCCAAACTGGTTCGCTTAAGACTAAAAGCAGCCCAAATTTTTTTTTTGTCCCAAAATCAAACCACATAACATTCCTAGCGCTAGTTAAAATTTAAGGCTTAGAAATTTTCGAGCTCACTTGGTTGGTAACTGAAATGCGATTGGTGTATATTTGTCGAGCTTTCATAGAGTAGTTTCTTAAGGTCGCTCTACTTTATTATAACTTACCTTTCAGTAGAATGTCCTTCGCTTTGATCCGAACAATAAATAATTGATTAAAAATTTACAAATGACTATAGAATAAAAGACGTCGAAAGGCACTAATTTCTAACGGGATTCGCTTTTCATTTGAAAAATCATTACTGAGCCTACATTTAAAAATCATGTAATAAAGAAAATTTTTGCATCGGAATTCCCGTCTAAATATGTATTACTTAATATTAAGCATGAAATAATTATTTCTTGAATACGAACAATGAAGTGTGAATTTTTAAATTTAAAAAGACATCAAATCTTTATAGCTATAGTAGTAGACATCTCAGGTTTTTATTATTTAAATATTTTACCATCCGCAAATTTCTTGCCATCAAGATGGCCATCCCAAGCCTAATTTGTAAATACATTTCGAAAATGTTAGTTGGAATGAATGCAAATTACATGATCGTAAAAAATAATTCTAAATAAACGCTTACCAGATAATCTTCAAAGCTGGAACGAACTTTAGGATCTGTATGATCAACCTTTTTAAATTCATAACTTTCGTAATCTGCAGCGTCAGTTACTATTATTTAGACATACCAATAGAACATTTTAGTATTTATTTAGATTAACCAAAATCATTAACTTCCTTATTTTATAAAAACTCGATAGCATACCTTCCTCTGGTACTTCTTGTCCACGAATAACAAAATATCCAGCAATTTCGTTTTTATTATCTGTAT